CTCTCTTCGTCATTGTCTCTCCCCCACCTGCCACCCTCATCCCACCCCTCCCCTCTCTCTCTCTCTCACTCTATCTATCTATCTATATAAATATCTGATGTGTACTAATGCGGTATATGAATGTAAAAGAAAAAATTTGAAAGAAAAAAAATATGCATGCTTCTTTATGGCTGTGTTCTGTAATTGATTGTGAATACTGAAAAAAGCTATAATGCACATAACATAAACTATAAATTTTCAGCGCTGGCAGTAAATTTGAAACACAGTCTATATAACGCTACCGCAAATTATATAAGAAAGAGAAGATTCTAAAATTGCAAAATGCAAAATAACACTGATCCAACAAGTAAAATATTACAACAGTAAGATGCATTAATTCCTTTTACATTAATAATTTTCTTACAATTATATTAAAATATCAGTAACTTAAGTTCAATGATATCAAAGCTGTTAATCTAATTTTGTGTATATAATTTCAATATAAAATGCACTTATATTTACTGTTATACGCATCAATATAATCGTAATATCAAAAGTTTAATATAAAATCTGTAATCTCTCATACACATTCAATACTATAAATTCTTTGTTAAATATCCAATACTGCTAAGATGATCTTTTTAAATGATTTAAATTATTATTTTAAAAGATTAATTTGATTCTATATTAACAGTAATATAAAAGACAATATGTATAAGATTTCTATTTCTGGTAATATCAACATCAAGATAAATTTTTAAAATAAATTTTCGTTTACCGAAGTATATCTACATACTAAAAAATGTAACTGATAATAATAATTGAAAATTATTTCATATAGCGGTAGCAAACTTTTAAAAAAAATTGAAATTAGTCGATTTTTGTATAAAGAAAGGATTGGACTTGCATTCTGCATTTCACGATTCTTGCTATACTGAGATATTAGAAGGAAAAAGTTAATAGAAATCTAAAGAAAATATTCTGCGTTCTAGTTTTGGACTAAAAAAAATTATGGATATCCAAAACTAAAAAAAAGCTCCTTAAAAATACAACTAAATTGCATGGAATGTACGCGCCAGGAAACGATATCCTCTAGAATGATTAACAAATTTAATTGGGTACTTTCCATTTATACGACTTTTGATGATACTTATATTTCGATTTAAGTTATATAGTTCGAAAGTTAACTAACTTCATTATAATAAACGAAAAACATGTGTCGTATGTAGACATTGATGTGTATTATATTCCAAATAGCTCAGAAATACGCGAAATTAATTCGTTTTCGTTTAATTTGTAACAACAGCATAATTTGTTAATATAAAATGAATTGGTTTACGATTTCAGTTACATTTCAGATATATTTGCGTACATATAAATACACTCTCGAGATACAATATTTTCATGACATAATTTAACAAATAGAATTTGGTTTATATTTCTTTGCTTTCTGTACATCTTTTAGTTTACTATCTAATCGTAAGCAAAATTAATCGACTTGAAATATGGAGAAACATATTAGGAAACAAATTAATTGGAAAGCACCCATTAACTATTAACAAATCTTTATGTATAAACTTACATTCATCTACTACATTGACAACTGCATTTATCGATGTGACCATATTGTTTTTTTTTTCTTACTTCTTTTAATGAAATAAGAGCTAACAATATTTTGTACAAGTTTTATGATACAAATATATTAAGATAATCCAGATTATATATATATATCATATATACTATATGTATAATTTAGAGTTACAAGTCCTTGCAAGGACTCAATTTTTTCTTGTACAAGGCAATATCTGTTCCTTCTAATGGCATTAAAAAAAATGTTTTTTCGATTTCTCTTTGTTTTCTTGCTAGTATCCCTCGCCCTGTACTGGGAAAATTAAAATCTACGTAATTCGCTTATGCCCCTTCCCCCCCCTGTACAGGCACAATATTATCTTTACTTTTATTCACTTTGATGATATCAACCGTGAGGTGTCTTCATGGTTCTGATATTTTGGTTTGCCATGAGTGAAAGGCAGGTATCTGTACTTGATCATATGCTGCAAATAGAACAAAAAAAAATTACATAAATTTAAATTAAATCTGCAGTAAAAAATAAATTAAAGGTTAAATAAGCTTTCAACTTGAATAGAAGACTTTATCGATCATTCATACCAATTTTCCCGAAATTATTTCGCGAAAAACGTTTATTTACAGAATGCGTTCAATTTAATGTTTAATTCCTGCAGAAGACTTCTCGGATTTAAATTTAGATTTTATAAAAATCTTTTGTTTTTTTTCTCATTTTCAATAGGATACTGTATTTAACTTTTTCCATGTAACTTTAAGCGTGACTATTATAGAATATATAAAAAATATGAGTAAAATAAAAAGTAAATAATAAAAATGAAAGCTATACAAATTTACCATCGATTCCTTACCTTTATTTGCCGCTTCATTGTGATACAGAATAATGTTATGAAATACATAACAAGTATCGGCCAGAATACTGGTATGTTAAAGCAATCAAATAGAGTGCATATCATGGCAACAACTGTAGATTTTGTTACTGAATACCAGAATTTAAATTCAGGTAATCTTCTAATGAACGGCCTGAATTCCTCATTTGATCTTGTAGGTAACTCAGGACCTTCTCCATCTGTAATTTTATTTCATGTTAAAGAAAAAAAAAGAGTATATCCCATGTTAAATAAGAGAGAGAGACAGTATAAAATCTCTTATCTTTAATAATTAATAATTGTATTCGGACTCTCAAATTCAACAAATTAAAAGTATGACTAAATTAGGCTAATGAGAGTCAAGCAACGTTGAACGGCGCAAAGATAGGTGAAAACCATACTCAGATGTTAGCTTAAAGTCTTCTGTATTTGGACGTTTCGACTCTCTTTGGAGTCATCCTCAGCAATAAG